ACAGAGGCATCCCATGGGGATCAGATGTATGGGCTGGAGGAGAGGACACAGGCTGGGTGAGAGAAGGCTGCATGCATTGCTCAAGCCCCAGCCGGTGTTCCCTGCTGGCCTTGAACTTAGGCTTATGTTGGCCTGGGCAAGGCCCTGATGGGGTGGGGCAGGGAAGGAGGAATGTGTGAAGGAGGGGTGTGTGAAGGTGGAATGCCTGAAGCCCCTTGGAACGGAGGCATCCCATGGGGATCAGATGTATGGGCTGGAGGAGAGGACACAGGCTGGGTGAGAGAAGGCTGCATGCATTGCTCAAGCCCCAGCCGGTGTTCCCTGCTGGCTTTGACCTTAGGCTTATGTTGGCCTGGGCAAGGCCCTGATACTTAAGGAGCCAGCTAATAGCCACATAGCTCATGACATTGAAGGTCTGTGTCATGGGGCTCCCACCCCACCCCAGGTCTTGGTGCTGGTCAGTCCCCACTGTGGGGATTGCCAGGAAGCCAGTCTTCCCTCTTCTTGCTCTGCTCCCGCCAGTTGCCATGGCAAAGCCACCAGCCCGAGAGCGGGAGCTTGGCGAGAAGTGGCCAGAGAAGGCCCACTGCTTCCTCAGGCCTTTGCTGATGTCCTGCTTCTGGCTTCTCCCAGGATCCCCGGCTGCTGGCCACATGCGAATTCTTGTGCAAAACCCACACCCTGTTTGTTTTCCCCTCCGCCCAAATGGAGGCCCTGTTTGGTTAATTTCTTCTTGGTGGCTTATTTGGAGGCTGTTAAAACAGACCCGAGGGGACCCTCAGCAGCGATGGTTCCATATCTCATTATCTTTCCCAAACCCGATTATTAGCTCAGATTTTTCTGATCGCTAGCTGCTGTTCGTGATGAGTTGTGTGCCATTAATGCCAGCTGGTTCCCTTAAACAGGACCCACCATGCCAGGGAAAACGAGCTGGCATTCAGAGCCACCAGCCACTTGGCTTTTTAATTTTAATGGGCTCCACCAAATGTTCCAGGCCAAAGGGCCCCGAGAAACCAGAACAGACGGGCTCCCAACCCCCGGTCTGCAGCCCACCCTGGCTCTCTCCTGGGCTGTGGCCATCCTCGCTGCTGGGACCGTAGGGCCTGTGTTGGGGGCTGTAGGAGCAGAGGGGGTGAGTGGCCACTTGCCTTCCCTGTGTTCATGCCTGTCTGCCACCCGCCCATTATCGGTGCCCAGGAAGGAGCCCAGGCCTTCTCCCAGCTATGCCGGTCCCCAGCCCCTTTCCTGGGCATGAGCCTGTTGGCCATGCTCTCAGAAACGTGTGTGTGTGTGTGTGTGTGTGTGTGTGTGTGTGTGTGTGTGTGTGTGTCTTACCCGGTCTGTGTTGGGGAGACTCCCGTTGGCTTCGGGGAAGGGAAGGCTGGAAGGGACCTGGGCCCTGGCATGGCTCTCTCTCCTTTCCTCCTCTCCACCCTGGGCTCCCATGTGGGGTGCGGGAGACAGGCTGGGCCAGTCACTCTGGACTGTGCTGTCCTAGCCAGGGAGGGGAAGGCTTGAGGGTAGGAGGCAAATCTGAATGTTGCTACAACTGAGGCCCCTATTCCTCCTGCCCTGGACCATACCCCAGCCCTGCCTGCCCGCAAGCTCCCTGCTGGCTTCTTGGAGGGCTCCTGCTCCCCACTCCTCTCACACTCTGCCTCGGTCCAAATGAATGTGAGCGTTTTGAACCCAGACCTTCTGATTTCTGGTTTGGGGTGGGGAGTCCAAGAGCTCTGCCTTCCCCCTTCCACTCCTCGGGACCCCAGCCCCAAGCTTGTCTTTCCAGGGGGGCTTTACTGAGTAAACAGCCAGTATAAATGGCATGTCAGGTATTAAAGCACTCCTCATTGAGGTGCGAGACAATTGGAAATTAAATAGCACAGTGGTTAGAAACACAGCTTTGGAATTAGCAGTCCCCGGGTTCAATCCTAGCTTCACTTGCCTCCTTGGACAAAATTAGTTAACCTCTCTGAGCCTGAACCTGTCTGAACTTCTCCGAATCTGTAAGGAGGGGTAACGCCCTATCTAAAAGCCTTGAAGTGGGGCCCTAGCCAGTTTGGCTCAGTGGATAAGAGCATCAGCCCCCAGACTGAAGGGTCCCAAGTTCAATTCAGATCAAGGGCACATACCTCAGTTGCAGTCTCGATCTGCCTCCTAATAGCTGTCTGTCCTTGGAAAAAATTACTTAACCTCTCTGAACCTGAATCTGTCTGAACTTCTCTGAATCTGTAAGGAGGGGTAACGCCCTATCTAAAAGCCTTGTAGTGGGGCCCTAGCTGGTTTGGTTTAGTGGATAGAGCGTCAGCCCCTGGACTGAAGGGTCCCAAGTTCAATTCAGATCAAGGGCACATACCTCAGTTGCAGTCTCGATCCCCAGCCCTGGTCAGGGCCCATGCAGGAGGCAACCAATTGGTGTGTCTCTCCACATTGATTTGTCTCTCTCTCTCTCTCTTTCTCCTCCTCCTCCTCCTCCTCCTCCCATCCCTCCCTTCCACTCTCTCTAAAATCCCAGACTGAAGGGTCCCAAGTTCAATTCAGATCAAGGGCACATACCTCAGTTGCAGTCTCGATCCCCAGCCCTGGTCAGGGCCCATGCAGGAGGCAACCAATTGGTGTGTCTCTCCACATTGATTTGTCTCTCTCTCTCTCTCTTTCTCCTCCTCCTCCTCCTCCTCCTCCCATCCCTCCCTTCCACTCTCTCTAAAATATCAATGGGAAAATATCCTCAGGTGAGGATTAACAACAACAACAAATAAAAAAAATAAAAGCCTTGTAGTGGGGTTTAGTTGAGATATTTCATGTGAGGTGAGTGGCCGGGCATCGCCCCATACCCTCCACACTTTCCCTCTCTGCATTCTATAGGAACATATTCCCTGGTATTTCGGGGCGGGGGCGGGGGGAGGGCACCATTTGAGTCACAGAATTGACAGTCACTGGCTGCTGGGAGCTGGGACAACTGGGCTTGATGAGGTCCATCTCGGGCAGGGGCAGCCCTGAAGCAGGGCATCAGAGCCCAGTGTATGTGGCAGCTCCCGGGCTGCTCCGCCGCCCACCAAAATGTGTCCAGGCTGCCATGCCTCCCAGCATCCCAGCATCCCTTGAACAAGCCGAGGACAAGGACTGGACTCTGAGCACCCAGGAGCCCAGGCTGGGCTTTTGCCTGGCAGCCCTCTGGCTCTGTGGGGCCCTGGGCCAGCCGAGGGCTGGCTGGCTGGCACTTGCTGTCTTCCTGGGTCCCTGGACCGTCTCGGCCGTGCCCTGCTTTGACTGCTGCAGGCACCCAGCAGCCCTGGAGGCCTCCCAAGGCTAAGCACCTTCCCCAACAATGCAGGAGGTTGAAGCCAGGGCCAGGGCTGCGGGTGCAGGTGGTCTGCTGAGCCAATAGGTGTGCCAGACCAGAGCAGGCAGCCCTAGGACTCCTCCCCGCCCCTGCCTCAGGCCAGGAATAACCCACAGGGCAGGGCTGGCTCTGGCCTCCGTTGGGGAGCAGAGGCCTCTGCACACCTGTCTCCTGGCCACATGCATCTTGCTTTCTCTCTCCCCATGCCTGTGCCTATGCTGTTTTCCCCACCCAAAGGCCCTGTTCCTCTGCCTGGACTACCTTCCCTCCTTCCCTCCTTCCCTCCTCTTCCCGTGGCTGATCACCCATTCATCTCTCTAGGTTCCTGGGTTTCATCCTCAGTCACTGTGTACTCAGCGTGCACTACGTGCCATCCACCGCCTTAAGTGCTGGGCATACGAAGATGAAAAAGACACGGTGCCTTCCTCCCAGCCTGGCGGGGACATCACACCCGTGAGCGGCATTCTGAGTGCTGGGAAGGAGGGACTCGTGATGTGCAGGGCAGGGACTTCCTGCCAGGGAGAGGCGACATCATTTTTATGGAGCTTAGTTTATTGAGGACTCTTACACGAAACACTTATATACATTCTCCTAACAGCCCTGGGATGCTGTAGATGTTGTCCCTTTTTACAGACAAGGAAACTGAGGCAAGGCTTAAGAGACTTTACGACTAAGGGTTTAAAGCTCATTTACTCCCACTGTAGTAAGTGACACTGGAGGTGGAGATCGGAGGTGGGCCATAAAAGAGCAGGTGTGGACTGTGTAGAGGAAGGAAGGCATCCCTGGCATAGGGACCAGCATGTGCAAAGGCCCTGAGGCCAGGAGTCTCATGCAGCATCGGATAAGCAGTAACCTGCACTCACAGAAGGAGAACATGGGTGGCTGGGGGAGTGGGGAGTTGAGGTCATGGAGGCCAAGACTGCTGCATGGAGATGGTACCTTCTTGCACAGATCGTGGGGAGGAGTGGGTGGTGGTGAATGTGATTGGACCTGTGTTCTAGAAAGACGAAGGGCAGCATGGGGATGAACTGGAGTGGGGAGAGCCCAAGGCGAAGGCCAGGGGTCTCTGGTGTCCTGAGCCGGGTGAGGGGAGCTGGGGTCTGAGTGAAGACAAGCAGGGAGCCCAGGATGTCCACTGAAACCCCCCCTCTGCACCCCTGCCCTGCCCTGGGCTGCTCTGCTTGGCTCTGCAGGCACCTGTGGGCAGGTGCATGGATCTCACTCTCCTGAGACCTCATGGTCTGGCCAGGCCCGTGCCTGGGCTCACAGCGGAGCCTCAGAAATGTGGTGCTTAGAGACTGGGAATAAGGGGGTCCTACACTACATTTATTTGCAACAGAAACCACCCCACCTTCACTTTTCCCCTCCTCAGAGAGGCCGTGTGTGTATGTGTGCGTGTATGTGTATGTGTATGTGTGTATATGTGTGTGTGTGTGTGTGCGCGCGCGCGCACATGCTTTACCTCTCTCCTTCCCTAGGAGCTGGTTACCTGGGATGACAGGGCAGTGATGCTTTAAACAGCCGCACTGCAGTTCTGCAATTGAGGGTCTGGGGGACAGCTGCAGGGGAAGATGGCGCCCCTCACTCTCCCCCCAGCCTGCCCCCTTCCTCCCTCAGGCGGCTGTAGCACCGTGCACTTTTTCTGTTTTCTCTTTCCAAGGTGGGCCTTAATGTCTTGGTTCAGAAAGCCAACAAGTTCACCCCGGCCACCCGCCTTCTCGTCCAGAGATTTGTGCCCTTCCCCGCTGTAGGTAAGACCTGCACAGTGCTGAGCATCTGCATGTGTGTGCGTGTGCATGTGCGTGTGCGTGCACACATACGTGTGCATGGGCATGTGGGCTCTCAGGGCTCTCAGGAGCGGGTCAGCAGCTCTACACTCTCCTGACATGGGGTGGGGGGTGTTTCTTCACAGGGACAACTGGAACAGAACATATGTAGATAGAGAAAAAGTGACAGGGGCCAGGCTGACTAGCTCTGTCCAAAATTCTACACAGGGATTCTTAACCTGGGCCCCCAGGCCCCCGAAGGGTCAGAAGATAGAAGGCAGTGGATCCCATGAACTTGGTGGGGGAAGAATTTATACTAACCTCTAGCTGAAATGTAACGTTTCCTTCCGTTATGAATGTAGGCAGCAAACCACAGTAATAAGCAGGTCGGGTGACTGTCACCAATAGAAATCACAGATGTCCCCACATCTCATCACAGTTACAGAGATCTTAAAATATTGCTCAAAATTAATACCAACAGATCCACTGGTCGATCTTGTTTTTAATTCATTAGTTAAAAAGCAGATCTATTCCTGTATCACAATTTTTAAAGTATTTTGATAACATTTCGATATGATTCCTTTGTGGTCCTATGTATTTTGTTTTATGCAGTTAGACACATTGTTTGGAGAGAGGTACATGGGCCTTACCAGACTGTCCCCGGTTCCTGACACAAAGCTCCCACTAGGCTAGTGTTCCTTGGGTATTGTGGACCTGTTAGGTTTCAGAGCCCCCACGCACCTTCGGGTAATTGTGGGTGCATGAGTGTGTGTAGAGGGGATCTCGCCTGCCTGCAGCCGAGTCCTTGCTGGTCTTGGCGCCTCTGAGCTCACAACAGATGCCCCAGGCCTGGACCCGGAATCCCTCAAAGCCCAGCCTGGCTCTTAAGAAGCCCACGCCTGGTTTGGGAGGAGGACACCACAGCGGGAAGTTTTTTAAAAATTAAAAAGAAATTAACAACATCGAAAGAAACCTGGGGCAGTCCGTGATTAGTAATCAAAAGAGGAGTATAAGCCAGTGTTTGAACCATGACACTGAGTTCCCCATCTGAGGCCAGAGGACAAAGATGGGGGCCAGCCCAAGGGCGCGGGGTCCTGCGCTGTCCTTGGTGCCAAGGCTCCGTCTAAAGAGCTGGGAGTCAGACCCAAGTTCATGGCCCAGACCCTGCTCTCCTCCTCCAGAGCTCAGTTTCCCCATCTGTACAATGGGCACCAGTACTTACCTTTCTACAGGCCAGAGCTGTGGGAGGATCAAATGAGACCACAACCAGACTCCCCTCCTAGGAGAATGCTTGGAACCACCTGAAAAGCTCCCGGGAGATCATTCCTGGGCAGCCCCACCTCCTCGATGGCCCAGAGGCTAATGAACTCCCAGGACCAACCTGCTCGATGAGCCTCGGCCAACCCAGATAATTGCTATAGCAACTCTACACTTTTAATGAACCCTCAGCTATTTCTAGTGCGGGCCATTAATGGAATAACTCTTTAGATCTGACTTTGTTAAGGGGCCTAATTGAGTGAACACGGCTGCTGTTCTTGGGGTCCTTGACATCCTGGGCTGGAGGGTTAGGTACAGCCCGAGAAGGCGGCAGCTCTCAGCCGCACTGGACTGGATCTGGGACTCGGCTGAGATGTAATCTGTCCTTGAGCCAAGCTCCAGACAAGGACTCCGCCCGGGGCCCATTCCAGCCCTGCTCTACTGGCCATCTTGCTGTGTGACCTTGGGGGTGGTCTTCACCTCTGTGAGGCTCCTGAAAGCAGGAGGAGGGTCCCTGCTCTCAGGGTTGACCCTTTCTGTCTTCCCCACCTGAGACTTTCTGTCTCTATTTGGGCTCCAGCTTGATTACTCTCCTGCCTTCTTGTTGGGGAGGAGCCTACAGCCCCTCGCACACGTGCAGCCACCCGCGAGGGGCCTCTCGTTCCTGTGTATCCCTGGCCAGTTGCACAGGTTTGCACTCTGTGTGGTTTGCAGCCCTGAGAGTCCTAGGTTGCCAAGATCTGGAGAGAAGCAGGCCCTTCCTGGCCCCTTCCTCAGGCCCAGTGCCCAAGTCCTGGCTGTGGACCTGCCTGTCTTCCACCGCCTGCCCAGTCTCTTCTCCCCCACATTCAATGCCCAAGTCCTGGCTGTGGACCTGCCTGCCTTCCACCGCCTGCCTTCCACCGCCTGCCCAGTCTCTTCTCCCCCACATTCAAGCTTCCAGCTCTCTGGCCCCCAATGCCCATCCCAGGCCCAACTGCAAATAGGCTCTAGCTGACTCCCCTGGTCATTGCTGACACATGGTAGTGGGCATGCCTCTCACTCTCCAGGGGCTCAAAATTCCCTTGGTCCTCTCAGGCCACCATCTAGTCCGTGCATGTGGCCTCCCTCCACCTTATCCCAGGGGCCTCTGGCCAGGACAGAGCATCTCTAAGCTTTCCATGGCACGCTGGTCCTACCAGCTGTTCACCCCTGCTTTCCACGGCAGGCTGGGCCAGACTGGGATGGGCCACAGCTAAGACCACTGAGAAGATGGCTCAGGACTTGCTTTACCTTGTAGAGCAGTGGTTCTCAACCTTCTGGCCCTTTAAATACAGTTCCTCATGTTGTGACCCAAATGCATGTGGCCTCCCTCCACCTTAACCCAGGGACCTCTGGCCAGGACAGAGCATCTCTAAGCTTTCCACGGCTGCTGGTCCCACCAGCTGTTCACCTCTGCTTTCCACGGCAGGCTGGGCCAGACTGGGATGGGCCACAGCTAAGACCACTGAGAAGATGGCTCAGGACTTGCTTTACCTTGTAGAGCAGTGGTTCTCAACCTTCTGGCCCTTTAAATACAGTTCCTCATGTTGTGACCCAACCATAAAATTATTTTCGTTGCTACTTCATAACTGTAATGTTGCTACTGTTATGAATCGTAATGTAAATATCTGATATGCAGGATGGTCTTAGGCGACCCCTGTGAAAGGGTCGTTTGACTGCCAAGGGGGTCATGACCCACAGGTTGAGAACCGCTGTTGTAGAGGGTTCTTTGCCCCTTTGGAGGCCTGGCCGGGTGGGGAGACAGGACTCACAGAGCTGTGAGTGCACACGGGAAGTGACGGATTGAGCTCTGGTTGCTGGGATGTGTGTGTAGGAGGATGGAACAAAAGGGAGTCTTCAGGGTGAGGGGGGGTCCTGAAGGGGCTTCGGGGCACTGTGCTCAGAGGCCACCTCCCACTCTGTCCCTCCTGGGCAGGCTGGAAACTCGGGCTCTGGGGAACCAGGAGACTCCCGGGGGTCAGTTGCTTCTTCCCACCGCTCTGTCCAGCTCCTCCCTGGGCTCCTGCCCCGGGCTGAGGTCTGGGAGGCAGGAGGACTGCTCTCTGCACTGAGACCCATGTGCTGCCCAGGAGAGAGGCCTGAGACCCCTGGCCCAGGACACCTGGCTCGCGCCTGACTGCCACTCCTACCCCTCTCTGGCCTCGGACCAGGTCCTATTTCAGCCCCTTTCTGCTGAGACCACTGGGACTGCAGGCCTCCCCTGGGTTTGTAAAGCCCAGTATTCCTGGGGCTCCACAGCTCTCCCCATTTCCCCCAGCCGGCCTCTGTTCCCCTCAACTCTCCTCATTCTCTCTCTGGGAGGACCCTCGGGCAGAGGGAGCCATCCCATCTTACAGAAGAAGAAACCAGTTCAGACTCACTGAACTGATCCTGACCTGGCCACAGCCCAGGCTGCTCCAGCCACTCGAATAACCTTCACTGCAATAGCTGAGAGACTGAGGGGCGGGGTCCAGAGGCCGGCTGTTCCGTGTCCCACCAGGAGCACCTCCAGTTTCACCCCTGGTTTTTCAGCCGGGGTTGTGTGTGTGCGTGTGCACGTGTGTGTGCGTGTGCACGTGTGTATGTGTGTGCGTGTGTGTGTGTGTGGTGTACGTGGGGAGCCACAAGGACACTCCCTGCAGCCTCTCCCCCGAGGTGGTTTCAGAGCCGTGCTGGGCCCTGGTCTAGAACAGCAATCATGTGGGAAATCTCGTTTCTATTTATACATGGACATGTTAGGAAAGACGGTGTGTGCTGGCATCGGAATCGATTGGGGACTGGTAATTAATTTGTTTAGACCTTAATTAATTCTCCAGTTCTTTCTTATTTGTGGACTGTCACGCTTAATTGTGTTCAGGAGCTCGAGCTTGGAGCAGGCCCTCCATTAATTGACGTGAGGTGGAAGTTAATGGTTTGGGGAGCTGGGCAAACAGTGTAATTAAAGGTCAATGGAGGAGGCATCGGAAAAATACAAACCTCCAGGTCCAGCCACCAGGCTCCACGCGCTGAGTCCATTCCCGCGGAGGCAGGCCCCACAGCAGCCTTCACGGGGGGCCTTGGGTGGGGGCTGGGAGCAGTGGCCAGCAAGAGGAGGTCCAGCTGGTGCCATGATGGGGCACTGGTGAGAGGAGTAGATGCACCTTGTCAGGGATGGGCAGGGCAGGGGCTTTGGAGACCCCAGGGGTCACCTGGCAAGCATAGCCGTGTACTCAGGCTCTTGTATGTATGTGTGTAGGTGGCAGGGCAGGGAGCTCTGAAGGTCACCCCCAGACTGCCTGGTTGAATCCATGCCAAGCAGGGGACAAGCAGGGCCCGGTGCTCATAAAGACCCCCATGTGGGCTCTGAGCTCCCCATGGGGAGGCCCGAGCCTCAGCACCCGCCCGCCGACTCCCTGCAGAGGGAGTAACCTTCCCGCATGGACCAGAAATGCCAGCCTTGGCATCTCTTTGCCAGGAAGTGACTTTTCCCTGTGCTGTCTACGGCTCTCCACAGTGGCTGCACCAGTCTGCATTCCCACCAACAGTGCATGCGGGTGCCCTTTTCTCCTCATCCTCTCCAGCACTTGTCGTTTGTTGATTTGTTGATGATAGCCATTCTGACAGGTGTGAGGTGATACTTCATTATGCTTTGAATTTGCATTTCTCTGATGATTATCAATGACATTGGGCATCTGTACAGAGGAATGTATTACTTTACAAAGGTCGAG